CCGAATGCAACATGTCCATGCGCGAGTATGCACGCGGTGGTGTTACCATTGATCATTATGCATATCGAACAAACAAAGAAGAAGAAAAAAACAGAGAGAAGGAACAACAACGTGTATACAATTCCAAAACCGAACCAGCAACAGCTGTTGCATGATCCAAAGTCATAATGCATAAAGCGAGGAGCATGCAGCCGCAAAACAAACAAAAAATGAAAAAGGCTGCAAACAAGCAACCACAACACGAACCAGCCAACGATGAAGAGTTTCAGAATTTTGAAATCAGGAAATTTTATACATCACAGCATTGTAATAATCAGCTGCAGGCAGGCATTCGGGGTAGGCATGCTTGGTAGGTAGGTAGGGTAGTCGACAGGTATGACAATGTACGAATTGCTTTGTTTTATTCACTTCAGACCTACAATACATCGACATGAGTACACGGAGGCTCATTATGTATGTATATAGGTATTTAATACGTACAATAATAACAACAACACCAACAGATTTGATTTTGTTTCTTTTCTTCTTCTTCTTTACGAACCAAAAAAACTATATCACTTTTCGTTATTATTTATTATTATTCAAGTGGTCTCGATCTATTTATTATTGTATTTTTATTATCAAAATATTTATTAAACATGCATGTACGTATGTATGTATGTGACTACTTCTGCTCCAAATTCACACTTCAATTATTCTAAATTGATTGTTTCATCTTTCTTTGCACAATTTAAATACACACGAGAAAAGACACAAAGAAGACACGAAATGCGGGAACTGGTCATTGTTGATTTCCTTGTGATGATGACGCTGATAAATAATTTTGTTTTTGTTTTTTCCGCGTCTGTTTTCAATTCTATTCTCTTTTTTCTGTTTTTCTTCCGCAACAATATTAGTTTGTTGTAAATTTTTTTCGTTCTTTATATATTGAATAAAGCGACAAGACAAAAGAAAATCTCAATTTTCAACGTGAACTCAAATAATCGTAACGCGAAGCCACACTAATACGGCTTTGAAGCGGAAAACAACACGGCCGTCACTAACGTGCAACCACAACGGAATACGCGCTAAACGTTGCTCTTCGCGTAATGATCAAAACACGACTGATCCCCACAAATGATCTGAGGTTAGTAACATAACAAAAACACTCGCACACACACACTCACACACATCTACTTTGTTGGAGCACAGAGACAACCCAGTAAACAATTTTTGCCGAATTCGGTCCGATTTCTGTCAGAATCTCTGAAAAAATGTCCGATTCTGATTCCGAATTCCTTCCGATTTCGGTACGAAAGTTGTATGGACGTGGTCACCGAATTCGGAAAGATTTTCTGAAAAAAATCTGAAAAAATATTAGATTTTCTGGACGAATTCGGTCCGAATTCGGTGAAAATTCTTGGAAAAATAGGAGAAAAAATTAGATTTTCGGAAAAGATTCGGAGGACAACTCCGAATTTCTGAAAGAAATCGGGCAGAATTCGTCTGGAAATTCGGCGGAATATTCAGATTTTCTGAAAGAAATCGGTCAGAATTCGAAAGAAAATTCGGAATAAAATTCAGATTTTCTGAAAAAAAAAAACGCTCAGAATTCGGGAGAAAGTTCCGATTTTCTGAAAGAAATCGTTCAGAATTCGGAAGAAATATCGAAAAAATCGTCACACCACTTAAAAATGAAAAAAAAAAAAAACACATATTTATTTAAAAAACAAACAATTTATTTCGGGTTTCGTAAAAATGTAGTTTAAATATTACATCTATAATACATTTACATTATAAATATTATTTTTATTAGGAACATAACATACAGTAGCACGTTTCTGTTTCAACTGCTAAACAAGAACTAAAAATAAAAAGCAGTGCACACAGAAAACCGGTATGTAGTTGTTTTTGCAATTTTTTTCCATCATATTTTTTTGGGAACGAAAGAGAAAGAGGCTGATTCACAACAACAACAAAACGCACATTTTTACAACGGAAAATCTAACAGTTCACAATAACAATAACAAATAGCATTTTTGCTTTGCTCTTTGTTGTTGTTGAGATCTTGAAATGAATGATCACAACAGCAACTACTATGGGAGAGAATGTGTCAAACCACCACCATCCGTTTACATGTGGGAGAGAATATGCCAGAGCAATAGACAATCTACTCTCTCCATTTGTACATTTTTCGAGTTTTTTTCGCTTAAAAACACAGGAAAATGTGCAGAAATTCTAAAAAAAAACGTTTAGAAAATCGGACCAATTTCTATCAGAAATTTCTGAAAAAACGTCAGAAATTTCGGAAAAAAATCTAAAATCAGAGCAGTCGGAAAAATTTGTTTACTGGGAAGATACCACGCCAAACACTCGACCAAACAAACGAAGTAAACAACGAAACCAATTTTAAACAATGCGAAAATTAAAATGTTTGGACGCCTCTCACTGGATGATGAGCTAAACAAATTGAAAATCACAAAGAGAAGAGAGCCAAGCGATTCTCACTTGCACTCACACAGTTACCAATGCCGCAGCAGAATATGTTTGTGAACACTGTTTCCGGTATAATTTGCATTTTAATATTTATTTTTTCAAAAAATAAAGAAGTACAGCATTTTTAATGCCCAGTAAAACTTGTTAGGGGCGTGAAGCACTTGGCTCATTACAATGTAATGTAAAGAAGCTTATTTTTTATAACCAATAAGTTAAAATATAAAATGTTATATCATGGAAAAAATTAAATCGTTGCAATACCTTTCTTTTCATACCCTACATAGGGAAGCTAGCGAGATAGACCCTTTGCCCTTTTGATGATCTGCATGGAATCAATAATTTTTGTAAACAATGTACAGATGGCATTTATTGCCCGAACTAGATGAAATTTTGCACAAATTATTGGTAATAGTCGAATTTAGTCGAAATTTAGATATAGCTCCCATATATATTTTCGTCCTATTTGCCTTCTATTGTGCACCAAATGTGTTACGCTAGTCCAAATGTGATGGAATTCAACACATAAGACCAAATTGAGCCTAGAAAAAAGGATGTAAAATTTGATGAAAATCAGTTCAGATATAGCTATAGCTCCCATATATAATGTCCATCCGATTTGTTATTTTTTTCCTCCACAGTAATGTGCACTCCGTAACAACGATATTCGGGGAAATATATCAATATAGCTCAGCCAAGTTCCATCGAGATCGGTTTAGATTTGGATAAAGCTGCCATATACATCTTTATCCGATTTCAAGAGTATTATGCACAAAATGGTTAGTGTAGGCCCGAATTGACTGAATTTCAGCACATATGACCAAATTCATCAGAAATGTAAGAAAGTGTGTCAAATTTGATGAAAATCGGTTCAGATATAGCTAAAGGTCCAATATATATGCCTCATCCGATTTTGTGTTAAGTCCCTCTCACCCCTAAAATACACTTCACAACAATGATATTTGGTGCCTGGTATACAGCATAGAAAATACTTATGCTAATTTTAAACAGATCGGTTCAGATTATTTTTTGTGGATATGCAAAGTGATGTACAGGGTGAGATGAAAACACTGCAACCAAATTCAGACTGCTGTCATTTCTAAGCCACTCGTCCGACAGCTGTTAAAATTATTCCAGTGATAGTTCATTATCTTTACAAGCGCACAAAAGCATTTTGGTGAGAATTTTCCAGAAAAAAAGTTATTCGTGGTGGAATTCAAGCGTGATAGTGTGATTTCTTTATATTTGGCTGAAAAACAACAAGTGGCTATCGTTAGAGCACTCCAGGATTTAAATGTGAATAAATCTTTTGTGTTTCGTACCATCGCTCATTACCGTGATACTGGTAGCGTAGCTGAAAATGTACACCTTCGGTTGGCCACCAGAACTCAAGCGCCGGCCATTGTGATAGTGTGGGCCGCCATAACTGCCGACGGTCACTCTCCGCTCGTATTAATCGACCGTGGCATCAGAATAAATGCCGAATATTATCGCGAAAATATTCTGCAGTGTGTATTAATGCCATGGGCACGCAAACATTTTGGCCGCAGACCTTAGACATTCCAACAGGACTCAGCACCATCGCACTCAGCACGCTCCACCCAAGAAGGGTTACAAAATGAGATTCCTCGCTTCACCAAAATCTCCGGATACCAATCCGTTGCACTGTTGTGTCTGGAGTATTTTGGAAAGCAAAGTTGGCACTAAAAAATACCAAAGTGTCGATCACCTCAAGCAAGCGCTTCGAAAGGAATGGGCCAAAATACCGCAGAGTAACATTCGGGCAGCGTGTGACGGTTTGATTGGCCGTTTGATGGCCATAATTCGTCCCAAAGGTGACCAATTCGAACAAATCTGAACTTATTCTAAAATTTGATGCTATTTCCGACATTTTTGCTTTCATTCAAAAAAAAAAAAAAAAAAAATAGGACGTTTGGCTTTGCTTTATCTGAATCCCACAGGGCCGAATAATACAAACCGAGTCCGTCCTACAATCCAGGTATGATCGGAACGACAGCATCTCGAAAAAATTAATATCATTGAGTGGACAGCCATAAATCCGATAGCAAAGAACCAGCTACCGCAACCCAAGTGCCACTGTCCAAGTACCATCGAACCGATTATTACACTAACACTGCAGTCAGAAATTGTCACCAAATTAAAGATTTCTGCCATGTAATACCATTTTTGGTTATCTTCCCAGTATCATGTTTTTTTATATTTATTTTCTCTTTTGTTTAACTTTAAGTCATTAAATACAACGTTCGTTTGTTTCACTGTACGATGTCGCATTGTGTACAATTTTGAGTTTTTATAAGCGTTTCTTTGTTTAGGGTATTATTTCTCAGCTTAACCACTCGAATTTCCGTTATTAACGGGTTGCCTTTGCTATCCATAAAATGTGCACATTTATATTGGCATGCCTAACGACACAGTTAAATCTCACAAAATATTGAGCATACTTTTAGGCTCATACAAATAAAAAGCAAATGCTTCATGCAATAAAATCACGTTATTGCTGTACTCACCTTCCATGACATAAACAATGCTGCCGACATCACCCTCCTTGATAATGAGACTCTTGGCGGCATATTTAACCGGGTACATGCAATCGACGATCTCACGAATTTGCGTTATATCCAGATTCTTCATGAAATCATTGTCCAAAATGGCAGATTTAATAAGTTCACGTGATCTGTAATGGCAAAAGAATGGAGAAAAGTGATTAGCATTACTTGATAAGGAAATATTGTTTTTTTTTGTTTATTTCGAACAATTGGAGAAGTTGACAGACTCATAATAAAAGGGAGATCGCGAACATTTTAAGAGGGAGTAAACAGAACGTTCCCCTGTATTTTTAGCCTGAAGGTGAGTTTTTACTAGTAGAATAATAAGACTTTTATTTTATGAATTTAATATAACCAGGTTTTTAAATATTTTAAACATGTTCCAATTGATTGAAATTGTCATCATAAATCGAGAGAAAAATTTAAAAATGAAATAGTAACAATTATAAAAAATTATTTTTTTTGACAATTAAAAACTAAATGTTCCTGAAATCGGCTTATAATTTGATGCTGATATCTAAGGGATCTCATTTAATAGTTTCAGGTTTAGTCAATGGAATAGTAATCATATGTTGGAGGATATTTAAGTTAATGTAGTAATTTACAAATTCAGTCAAAAATGTTTTGATACAGCCTCCATGTCAGGGTGTATCCAGATTTCAAGTATTTTTCAGGTTATAGCCATATTCCCAATTTGATTTCTACATTGGGTTCCTTTTCAAAAAAATATTAATCTAGGTCCACCTTTCATACGTCCTAATTATACTAATTTTGAAATCTTATTTTTCTATTAAAAACTTATTAAATTACTTTGCACATTTCGGTATTTTCATCAGCTTATCCTCGGCCTCCACTAGATTCGTTAATGGCTCGGCACTGCAGCCTTGACGTTTTATGCGTTTATACTCCGACGGTAGGACCCGCGTCGATTCCATGCCAATGTTACAGTTGATGTCATCACATTCCGTCTTGTGATGCTGGAGGAAGACCTGAGTCAGTGGCTTGACCACCTGACGGAACTTGTCAATTTCATTTTGTAATTCAACGACTAGGGCATCTTTGGTGTGACACTCTTGCTGGAGGCGGGCAATGCTCTGGCAAAAGAAACGATTACGTTCCTGGCATTCGGACAAGGCCTTCTCCTTGTCGTGCAGAGCAACTTGCAGATGATCGATTACATCAATCATTTCCTGTAGTTGAGAGGCTGTGGGTGGCATTGACTCCGTCTGAACATCTTCTTCGGCAGAACCACCATCACAACGTTCCAACTGTCTCTGGCCAGCTGTACTGCCCAGCGAGAAGGGCAGGGCATGCTTTTGATGCTGTGTTGCATCGCACTGGTGACATTCCCGCAAGGCCTTTTTCAGACTTTGAACTTCGTTGTCTTTGTCGTCCAGGGCTAGGCGGGTATAGTGCAGTTCATGTCTCAGATTGTCCAAAATTTCCTCCAAGCGATGACATTCTTTGGAGTAATTCAGTTGACGTTTTTGACTCATTTTTGTTTTTGTTGTTGCTTAGAGTTGTTGGTGCTTGTGGTGATATTCAAAAACACATTTCTCGCAGCAGCAGCAATTGGTGGCAGCGACGTAGCGTCCGTCAGCGTCTTGGCAATCGAACGAACGAACACGCGAAATACGAAAACGAAAGTTGTTAGGCCGCAATAGTCTCTCCGTAGTTTATCGGCATTTGTTTTGGTTTTCGCAATCAATGACGTCATAGAACACACCGGCTTTTTAGCATTGTTTTAAGGTCTTCGTGTGTTTTCGTTGATTTAGAATTCTGAACACAGCTGATAGTTTGATTTTTTATTTTTTTGACACCAAATATTAGATTACATCAACAATTATTTGTTGTCTCCTCAATTTACTTCCTTGAAAATGTGGCGAACGTTATGGTTCGGTTTTAATTGAAAATTGCCTGCGAGGGCAATGCCATTTGCAATAAACTGTAACAAATTGTAAACAATTGCTAAGTTCACATCATCAATTAATGGCAATCAACTTCAATAGACAACATCAACAAAAACAACAACAACAGCAGCAGCAGAAACATCAACAGCAACATGAACAATGTATAATTTTAATAGCCAATGCGGTAGACGAACGCTGCGCATGCGCCCTAGGCTGTCGACAAATCAGTCAGTCAGCCAGCCTGCCAGACAAGTAGCATGATTGTTGAGTGGATGGATGCATAAACAACAACAACATCCACTTCAACGTGCATTGCACTTCCAAATAGTTAATAGCGATTCAGAGCACAAAAACAATGGAAAATGATGTAAGAAAATATTGTAAACAACAATATTAGGGTGTTATGTCTTAACTTTTTAATAATTTTGTAATGAATTTATCGGAGCCTTTTTTGAGGGTTATATAAAAGAAAATGTGGCAGGTTCGTAGCCGGGATTTTTGAAATTTGATGTGAAAAAGTGTTCTACGCCCTAAAATATGCCCAAATCCTTTGCAAGAATTAAACTGAGGGGTATCATTATATAACTTCTGGGTAACCTATACTGACAATTATTGTAAGTGTAAAATTAAATGGAAAACATTATTAAAACATACTCGGACCGGCCATTTTCTGTATCAATGATTTTGGATGTAGTCCAAAGATCTCTATCAAATTTCAAAGCTCTGTCCTAAATATTGCGAAATATATCTCAAACTATTAGGGTCCCTTTGGATATAGTCACAACTATATAAGGGTCATAACAGCTGTCGGCATAAGAACCCAAAACTGCTTTGGGGCTTTGAACTTAAAACTAGTATTCGTTCGAGTATACTTGACATTTCTCACAACCCAGACTGACTATTGGAGAGTAAAAATATAAGAAAATTTCCAGTGAATTCAGAAAAAGTGAAAAATTTATCGAAAACAGGAAACCCTTTTTATAAACCAAAAATATGTCATCAATTTCTATGGTACGTATAAAGTCTACACATTTCTTTTGTTCAGAGACTCACAATGAAACTTGATCTAGAATAATTCTTACTTTGACACTTTCTCCAAAAAATGAGGCATAAAGGGAGATAATGCCTCAAATTGGATGCATATTAAATTAACAGTAAAAAAAAAAGGAAACACATAATTTTCAGCTTTAGTACACAAATGTTGAACGTAATTTTCATAAAAACTATTGCACCTAGATATATAGGTTATTCCGCGATTTATAGTGAAATTTTATGTAGAATATTTCTTGTTTTGAAACCTTCCGCCTAAAACGAAATTATATGTTACTTTCAAGCGTGAACTCGAAATAATTCCAAGGAAAAATTATTCAAAAAATAATGTTTTTTTGGGAATATTGATGCAAATATTTTTTTGATATGCAATGGAAATAGAGATTTTCTGTGGTAACTTATAGTAAAATTTGATGAAGAATATTTTTGCCTGTGACGTCATCCTTCTAAAGTAATGCTTTGTTGGAGATTTTTATACAAACCACGTAATGTACGGCTTTAACTCTAAAATGTTTTTTTTTTAACATAATATACAAGTTGAGATGAAAGAACTGCAAGAAAATTCAGATCGCTGTCCTTTTTAAGCCACTCGTCCGACAGCTATTAAAATTATTCCAGTGACAGCTCATTATATTGTTTACAAGCGAAAATTTTCCTGAAAAAATTTATTTGTGATGAAATTCCAGCGTGATAGTGTGATTTCTTTATATTTGGCTGGAAAGCCACAAGTGGTTATCGTTAGAGCACTACAGCATTTAAATGTGAATAAATCTTTTGTGTCTCGTACCATCGCTCGTTACAGTGATACTGGTAGCGTAGCACGACGTCAAGAAAGTGGACGGAAGAAAACAGCAACATTAGCAGAAATGGTTCGAAAAGTAAAGAAGCGACTTGATCGAAACCCGCGTCGCAGCTGCCGAAAAATGGATCATGAGCTGAATATATCGCAATATTCCTTTCAGCAAATATTGAAAAATTAACTCGGGGTAAAGCCATTGAAATTCCAAAAAGTGCAAGAACTTACACCGCAACAGAATGAAAATAGACTCAAAAGAGTTGCTTTGCTTGGCCGAGAGTGGTGAACTGCCGAATTTGGTTTTCTCCGATGAGACAACATTCGTTGTCCAGCAGTTTGTAAACAAAATGATCGTGTTTACTTCCCAAAGAGGTCAGCTGAAAATGTGAACCTTCGGTTGGCCACCAGAACTCAAGCGCCGGCCATGGTGTTTGTGTGGGCAGCCATAAGAACCGAAGGTCGCACTCCGCTCTTATTAATCGACCGTGCCATCAGAATAAATGCCGAATGTTATCGCGAAAATATTCTGGAGGGTGTATTTAAGCCTTGGGCACGCAAACATTTTGACCGCAGACCTTGGACATTCCAAAAGGACTCAGTACCATCGCACTTAGCGCGCGCCACCCCAGAATGGGTACAAAATGAGGTTCTTTGCTTTATTTCTAGTGCACAATGACCACCAAAATCTCCGGACGGTTTCATTGGCCGTTTGAAGGCCATAATTCGTGCCCAAGGTGACCAATTCGAACAAATCTAAACGTATTCTAAAATTTGATGCTATTTCCGACATTTTTTGCTTTCATTCAATAAAATTTAGAAAAAAAATTATAAATTTGGCGTTTGACTTTGTTGCAGTTTTTCTATCTCACCCTGTATATTTCGGGATTGCAGCTCTACGCCTTCTTCCACTTAGTACTTTTCGTACAATTATAGTACACATTTCCAAAGCCACCTCCATATCTTAACCAGTGTTATTTATATCAAATTTGAGGATTCGAGCCCTATTTCATCACCCAATACCAAATTTAGTACCACTTAGCACTTTTCGCACAAATATGGAACACATTTCCAAACTAGCAACAAACCTCAAAGACAGTAATCTAAAAATTAAATTTCAGAATTTTATCTCTATCCCTTCATCCAATACCAAATATAGTACCATTCAGTACTTTTCGTACAATTATTGTACACATTCCAAAAACCCACATCTTTATCACACACCTACCACCAACAGTGACCTAATACAAAATTTCAAAATTCCAGATTCATTAGTTCACCCTAAACTAACTTTGTCGAAATTTAGTACCATTTCGTACGGTTCGCACACCTAGCACACATTTCCAAAACAACCTTCAAACTTAATTTCCAGCCT